TGCCATGAGATGGTATCTCACTGTGGTTTTGATTTGCATTTCTCTAGTGACCAGTGATGATGAGCTTCTTTTCGTATGTTTCTTTGCTGCATAACTATCTTCTTTTGAGAAGTGTCTGTTCATGTCCTTCACCCACTTTTTGATGGGGTTGTTTTTTTTCTTGTAAATTTGTTTGAGTTCTTTGCAGATTCTGGATATTAGCCCTTTGTGAGATGGGTAGATTGCAAAAATTTTCTCCCATTCGGTAGGTTGCCTGTTCACTCTGATGGTAGTTTCGTTTGCCTTGCAGAAGCACTTTAGTTAATTAGATCCCATTTGACTATTTTGGCTTTTGTTGCCATTGCTTTTGGTGTTTTAGTCATGAAGTCCTTGCCTATTCCTATGTCCTGAATGGTATTGTCTAGGTTTTTTTCTAGGATTTTTATGGTTTTATATCTAACATTTAAGTCTTTAATCCATCTTGAATTAATTTTTGTATAAGGTGTAAGGAAGGGATTTAGTTTCAGCTTTCTACATATGGCTAGCCAGTTTTCCCAGCACCATTTATTAAATAGGGAATCCTTTCCCCATTTCTTGCTTTTGTCAGGTTTGTCAAAGATCAGATTGTTGTAGATGTGTGGTGTTATTTATGAGAACTCTGTTCTGTTCCATTGGTCTATATATCTGTTTTGGTACCACGACCATGCTCTTTTGGTTACTGTAGCCTTGTAGTATAGTTTGAAGTCAGGTAGCATGATGTCTCCAGCTTTATTCTTTTTGCTTAGGATTGCCTTGGCAATGCGGACTCTTCTTTGGTTCTATATGAACTTTAAAGTAGTTTTTTCCAATTCTGTGGAGAAAGTAATTGGTAGCTTGATGGGGGTGGCATTGAATCTATAAATTGCCTTGGGCAGTATGGCCGTTTTCACGATATTGATTCTTCCTATCCATGAGCATGGAATGTTCTTCCATTTGTTTGTGTTCTCTTTTATTTTGTCAAGCAGTGTTTAGTAGTTCTCCTGGAAGAAGTCCTTCACATCCCTTGTAAGTTGGATTTCTAGGTATTTTATTCTCTTTGTAGCAATTGTGAATGGGCGTTCACTCATTATTTGGCTCTCTGTCTGTTATTCGTCCATAAGAATGTTTGTCATTGATTTTTGCACATTGATTTTGTATCCTGAGACTTTGCTGAAGTTGCTTATCAGCTTAGGTAGATTTTGGGCTGAGATGATGGGGTTTTCTAAATATACAATCATGTCATCTGCAAATGGGGACAATTTGACTTCCTCTTTTCCTAATTGAATACCCTTTATTTCTTTCTTTTGCCTGATAGCCCTGGCCAGAACTTCCAACACTACGTTGAATAGGAGCGGTGAGAGAGGGCATCCTTGTCTTGTGCTGGTTTTCAAAGGGAATGCTTCCAGTTTTGCCCATTCAGTATGATATTGGCTGTGGGTTTGTCATAAATAGCTCTTATTATTTTGAGATACATTCCATCAATACCTAGTTTATTGAGAGTTTTTAGCGTGAAGGGCTGTTGAATTTTGTTGAATGCCTTTTCTGCATCTATTGAGATAATCATGTGGTTTTTGTCATTGGTTCTGTTTATGTGATGGATTATGTTTATTGATTTGTGTATGCTGAACTAGGCTTGCATCCCCGGGATGAAGCCAACCTGATCATGGTGGATAAGCTGTTTGATGTGCTGCTGGATTTGGTTTGCCAGTATTTTATTGAGGATTTTTGCATCAATATTCATCAGGGATATTGGTCTAATATTCTCTTTTTTGTTGTTGTGTCTCTGCCAGGCTTTGGTATCAGGATGTTGCTGGCCTCCTAAAATGAATTAGGGAGGATTCCCTCCTTTTCTATTGATTGGAATAGTTTCAGGAGGAATAGTACTAGCTCCTCTTTGTACCTCTGGAAGAATTCGGCTGTGAATCTGTCTTGTCCTGGACTTTTTTTGGTTGGTAGGCTATTAATTATTGCCTCAATTTCAGAACCTGCTATTGGTCTATTCAGGGATTCAACTTCTTCCTGGTTTAGTCTTGGGATGGTGTATGTGTCCAGGAATTTATCCATTTCTTGTAGCTTTTCTAGTTTATTTGCATAGAGGTGTTTATAGTATTTTCTGATGGTAGTTTGTATTTCTGTAGGATTGGTGGTGATATCCCCATTATCATTTTTTATTGCGCCTATTTGATTCTTCTCTCTTTTCTTCTTTATTAGTCTTGCTAGGGGTCTATCAATTTTGTTGATCTTTTCATAAAACAGCTCCTGGATTCATTGATTTTTTTGAAGGGTTTTTTTTGTGTGTGTGTCTCTATCTCTTTTAGTTCTGCACTGATCTTAGTTATTTCTTGCCTTCTGCTAGATTTTGAATTTGTTTGTCCTTGCTTCTCTAGTTCTTTTCATTGTGATGTTAGGGTATTGATTTTAGATCTTTCCTGCTTTCTCTTGTGGGCATTTAGTGCTGTAAATTTCCCTCTACACACTGCTTTAAATGTGTCCTAGAGATTCTAGTACATTGTATCTTTGTTCTCATTGGTTTCAAAGAACATCTTTATTTCTGCCTTCATTTCGTTACTTACCCAGTAGTCATTCAGGAGTGGGTTGTTCAGTTTCCATGTAGTTGTGCACTTTTGAGTGAGTTTCTTAATCCTAAATTCTAATTTGATTGCACTGTGGTCTGAGAGACAGTTTGTTGTGATTTCTGTTCTTTTACATTTGCTGAGGAGTGCTTTACTTCCAATTATGTGGTCAATTTTAGAATAAATGTGATGTGGTGCTGAGAAGAATGTATACTCTGTTGATTTGGGGTGGAGAGTTCTGTAGATATCTATTAGGTCTGCTTGGTGCAGAGCTGAGTTCAAGTCCTGGATATCCTTGTTAACCTTCTGTCTCATTGATTTGTCTAATGTTGACAATGGGGTGTTAAAGTCTCTCATTATTATTGTGTGGGAGTCTAAGTCTCTTTGTAGGTGTCTAAGGACTTGCTTTATGAATCTGGGTGCTCCTGTATTGGGTGCATATATATTTAGGATAGTTAGCTCTTCTTGTTGAATTGATCCCTTTACCATTATGTAATGGTCTTCTTTGTCTCTTTTAATCTTTGTTGGTTTACAATCTGTTTTATCAGAGATTAGGCTTGCAACCCTCCTTTTTTTTTTTTTTTTTTTTTTTTTTGCTTCCCATTTGCTTGGTAGATCTTCCTCCATCCCTTTACTTTTAGCCTATATGCATCTTTGCACGTGAGATGGGTCTCCTGAATACAGCACACTGATGGGTTTTGACTCTTTATCCAATTTGCCAGTCTGGGTCTTTTAATTGGGGCATTTAGCCCATTTACATTTAAGGTTAATATTGTTATGTGTGAATTTGATCCTGTCATTGTGATGTTAGCTGGTTATTTTGCCCATTAATTGATGCAATGTCTTCATAGCATTGATGGTCTTTACAATTTGGCATGTTTTTGCAGTGGCTGGTACTGGTTGTTTCTTTCCATGTTTAGTGCTTCCTTCAGGAGCTCTTGTAAGGCAGGCCTGGTGGTGACAAAATCTCTTAGCATTTGCTTGTCTGTAAAGGATTTTATTTCTCCTTCACTTATGAAACTTAGTTTGGCTGGATATGAAATTCTGGGTTGAAAATTTTTTTCTTTAAGAATGTTGAATATTGGCCCCCACCCTCTTCTGGCTTGTAGGGTTTCTGCCAAGAGATCCGCTGTTAGTCTGATGGACTTCCCTTTGTGGGTAACTCGACCTTTCTCTCTGGCTTCCCTTAACATTTTTTCCTTCATTTCAACCTTGGCAAATCTCACAATTATGTGTCTTGGGGTTGCTCTTCTCGAGGAATATCTTTGTGCTGTTCTCTGTGTTTCCTGAATTTGAATGTTGGCCTCCCTTGCTAGTTTAGGGAAGTTCTCTTAGATAATATCCTGAAGAGTGTTTTCTAACTTGGTTTCTTGGGGTTGCTCTTCTTGAGGAGTATCTTTGTGGAATTAAAATAAATGGAATTAAATTATAATATTTAAAAATATTTTCCACAAGCAAACTTCCCAGTCTAAATTGCTTCATATTTAAGATGATATAAAATTATATTAAGTTTTCCTATAAATTTTTAATATTTAATATTTTTTCTATATTTCCTATAATGCCATAACATGACAAGGACATTCATTGTAAGAAAGGAAAATTACTGACATATCTTCCTTATGAATACACAAATTACATTTTAGTATATCCTAAAAGTGAGAGTTGCAACAGGGAGGAAGCAGAAGCTGCCAGTCCTCTTGGAAGTCAGGCCCAGAACTGGCACAGTGTCCCTTCAGTCTTGTTGCATTGGTTGAAGCAGTCACAGAGTCAGCTAGGGCACAAGGGGAGCAGAAATAAACCCCATCTTTCAATGGGGGGAGTGACAGGGAATTAGCAGGCACCCACAATTCATCACATCTTCCCACCTCTCTCAAATTTATGCTTGTCCAAAACCAGCTCTATCACCAAAGTTCATTTCAAATCCTCTCTCGTATGAATTATTAACCCCTAAACTGAAAATAGCTCTTCCATTTTCCCCTGTGAACTCTCATTTTTATCTCTACCTTTCTTGGGGCACTTTTAACTTCCAATCTTGAATTATTTATATGAGTCTTATCTCCTCTACATTTTAAATAACATTTATTTCTAGTTACTGAAATAAGAAACTCATATTGTAGAAAATTGTCAAGGTTCATTTCTGAATAATACCTCTCTCAATCTGCTTTGCAAATATGAGATGCTTGATAAACATTTAATAAGTGAAGATTGTAATAAAATCCAAACTTTCTAATAGGTCAATACTAGGTATGTCTGAGATTGTTTGGCTTGTAACTTTCTTCTGTATACTAATCATATATTTTTAAATACAGATAGGTAAAGTGAAGCTGAATAATAGTTGTGTGTATTTTACCCGACTTACGTTGGGGAGAATAAAAGCAAAAGAAAATAGTGTAATAGCGAACACTTACTGAATTCTTAACTATGTGTCAGGCACGTTTCTAAAGACTTCATCCTCCTAACATCCTGCAAGGTTTCGAAGAAAAGGAAAAAATTACCAAGGAATGCAAAACAAAGGAAACAAAAGATGCAGAAAAAAAGTATCCTATAGATCTGAAGAGCTCCAAAACATCTGAAATTCTGACGTAAGTTGGCTACATGGTGAGGGAAGCTGGCTTCTAAGAACCCACACAGGAAAGAACTTTGGAATAAAGGGCACTTTTCCTATGACTTAATCTATTCTTTCCATATTTAATGGAGTACTATTTTATGAATTCTTATTTTTGAAAATAAATACATCAATTTTCTGGCAATTGGAACTTTGAGGTCTTCAAATTACCTTCACTTTTAATATAATGTTAACATCTTTAACTGCCAGGAAAAGAAAAGCCTAATAATGACTTAGTTTTTAAAACTGGTGCAGTACCTGGAGATCTGCAACTACAATGAGACAAAATTAAACAAATTTCTGATACTTTTATTTAACAACCAAAAAGTATTGCCTGTTCAGTACTATGCTTTATAATAGTGGAAAAACAGAAAAGGAGTATAATATGGTACCTGACATCAGAGAATTATGCAATCTATTTGAAAAGATAGAATTAAATATTTAGGAAATTAACAGGAAAGCTTTAGTTTAAAAAACAAGATAGAGGTCAGGAAAGGGAGGAATCACTTTGGAATATAACAGCAAAATAAACTTTTGTTGGCAGCATTGGGAATTGAGGTGGGCTTTCAGAGAAGGGCAGAATTTAGATAGGTTAGCAAAGAATATTCCAGATTTGAGAAGGTGAAAATTAGTAACTGCACAAGCAAGGGCATAGAGGCAAGAATGATTGTAATGTTTTAACCCAATAGCAGGGAAGAGATGACTCATCTTGAGAAGGGTTATGTATTTGAGATTATTGGAAAATAGAATCTAATGGGTAAGGTAGATTATGACAAGCTCTGAATGGATGCTGGTCAGCGTGGTTCAGGCTGAGTACAGTAAAAACAACCTGAGGCCATTTTCATCCCTGACTGTGAGAGTATTTAATGTACTAACGGGACCTTTACTGAGTTTTAACATAGGAAAGTTCCTCCCAAAGTGTAGTTGGAATGAAATCTTCCTACTTGTTTTCCATAAAATCAGTATGATTTTCCATAAAGAGATTATTATTTTTGACACGAAGCAAAGGTCAGAGTTTGGGTGTGTATTTGTGTCCATGAACATTATGATGTGTGTAGGTGTTTTAATTTCCAAAGTCAGGGTCAGGAGGCAGATTAGGGCTATGGTGTCATGACAACCAATCAAGCTGTTTGTTTCAGTCCAAAAAGTAGTCAATTCACTGGAAAATGCTCAATCAACTAAGTGTAAATTAAAATAGTTATGAATTGTTTGTAAAAAGCAACCACAGTTTGTTTTAAAAAGGTATGAATAATTTTGCATATGCATAATTTTCCATAAAGATATTATTCTTTAAACATACAGCAAAGGTCAGAATTTGGGGGTGTTTATATGCATGTGTGTTTGTGTTTTAATTTCCTAAGTGGGGGTTTAGGAGGCAGATTAGGACTGCAAAGGGCCAAGCCAACCAATCAAGTTGTCATTTTGGTCTTTGTCCTTGTCTACAAAGTAGACAGTTCACTGGAAAAAGTTCAAGCAATTAAGTTTAAAATAAAATATTTACCAATTCATTATGAAAAGTTGCCTTAAGTTTATCTAATGAAAGGTATTAATATATCTATTATTTTACCATATCTAACAGCTTATCACTCTATTATATAAATAAATATGATTAAACTGAGGGGACATATTTCTCACAAAAAGGTGTTCATTTCTACCCAATACCTATATCTTCTAGGTGCTTAGAAATTGATTTCCAATTCATAATTAAAAATCCAGTAAAATTGTCAAATGAAAAGCTTTCATCAATTACTTTTTATTTTATAAACATGCTTTGAAAACACTTTGTTAATTTTACAGAAAGTCATTAGGCTGCATAAATCACTTTTTGGGTACATTTACTAATGGAATAAAATAATTCCAATATATCATTTGCTTCTGAATGCCTCAGAGTTTCAGGAAGGTATTAATAAGGCCCTGCTTCCTGTATCTTAAAACAAACATTTAGTTTGATTATTGCTTTCTTGAGTCTTAGAAAAACAAATTATGAAAGTTATAATGGACTTCTTGGAAAGGTAATGACATAAGGGCATGGTTGCAAAACTGCTTTGTTTGATTTCCAACGTAAACTAAGAAAGGCTAGGCCTACTTTATAAACTCCAAAGAGCAATTATTAGGTAAATATTAGTTAGACAATATTGAGAGTAGACACTGATATGCTAGTTTAACTTAACCTCTCCAGTTAATGAACACAATATAGTTACAGGTTACACATGATTTAAAAAAATCTAGATACTCACCCCCACACCCTCCACACACACACATTTTTTTGGTTAACTTTGAAAAACACAGAAAATACTCAGCATAGGGTCTACACTTGCACTGCTGATGAGCAAGATGGGAAATGACTTTTCAAAACAGCATCTTGTTATGTTTGACCGGTTCTTTTAATTAAGAGTGGTGTCATCGGGCCAGGCGCAGTGGCTCATGCCTGTAAATCCACCACTTTGGGAGGCCAAGGCGGGTGGATCACCTGAGGTCAGGAGTTCGAGACCAGCCTGGCCAACATGGTAAAACTCCGTCTCTACTAAAAACACAAAAAATTAGCTGGGTGTGGTGGCGGGTGCCTGTAATCCCAGCTACTCTGGAGATTGAAGTAGGAGAATCACTTGAACCCAGGAGTCAGATGTTTCAATGAGTCGAGATCGCACCGCTGCCCTCCAACCTGGGCGACAGAGTGAGACTCCATCTCAAAAGAAAAAATAGACAAAGAAAAAAGCAAAGAAAATCACACAAAAACTGTGAGGGAATAGACACAGAAACAAGGATTGCTAGAGAACCATTCAACATGCATCGGACTGCTGTCTCTGAAGGAAACAGTAGAACGAATGGAATAAAAAATCATTCAAAGACATCATTGAAATAACATTTCGGCAAAGAAGAAACACACAGGATCTGAAGAACAAAAGGAGCCACTGTTCTAAAAGAAAAAGATAAATGACACACTCTGAGATGTAGTCTTACAATTGAACCTCAGTGATTTTTTTAAGCATGCAAGCAATAAAAATGCGTCACCAACAAAGGAAGAGGTAAAAAATAAAAAATAAAAATAAAAAAACACTGACTTACAAATTCATGTTAGCAGCTTTACATGCAAAAAAAACTGTGGAACAATATCAACAGGATTTTTGAAGATAAGAGATTCGAATTACAAACTTAGTCAAATTGGCATTTAAATGTCCAGATGACAGGAAATGATCTCAAATTTACAAAGTCCGAGGAAGTATATCTCCCACATATCCAGCTAGCATTTCTAAAAATATCTACTTGTCACAATCTAGCCAATATACAGATTAATCCAAATAAAAACGACAGGAATGGGAAAGTCACAGGATGAGAAATGGCAGGTGATGATTAAATTCAGTTGAACATAAAATTAAGGCCAAACAACTAATTAGTGTAAAATGGTATAATGTTTCTAATTCTTGAAAGAAACACTACATCATATGGTCGGGGGCGGGTGGTAATGAGGACAAAACCTTCAGAGAATACCACAGTATCTACCAGGATTCTGGGCATGAAACAGCATCTTCAAAAAGACTTAAAGAACAGTCTCTTTATATAGTAGTGAACCTCCATGAGCTGGTAGGCACCCATGTACAAGCAGTAGTAGGAAAGCATAATATTTCTGTCAGATTGTATTGCTGGTCACCCACCTCTGCCTTTTTTTTTTTTTTTTTTTTTTTTTTGAGACGGAGTCTCGCTCTGTCACCCAGGCTGGAGTGCAATGGCGCCTCAGCCTCCTGAGTAGCTGGGACTACAGGTGCCCGCCACCACACCCGGCTAATTTTTTGTATTTTTTGTGGAGATAGGGTTTCACCATGTTAGCCAGGATGGTCTTGATCTCCTGACCTCATGATCCGCCCGTCTCGGCCTCCCAAAGTGCTGGGATTGCAGGCGTGAGCCACCACGCCCGGCCCCACCTCTGCTTTTTCTGGGGGAGGCTTATACTTCCCTGCCCCACTTAAAGTTAGATTTGCCTATTTACCTGAGTAAAATGTGAGCTGAAATGTCATGAAACAGATGGGAAGAAGCTTCTGAAGCCGGTTTGTGCTTCTCCATCACGTGAATCCCTAGCTAGACATCAGGAAGAAGCACCACAACCAACCTGTGATGGATATGTACCACAAACAATAGTTGTAAGTCATTGATATTTGGGAGTAATTTTGTAGCAGCAAATCTAACCTTTCCTCAGCCTGAAGAGGAAAGGGAAGGGCAATGTGTAATAGAGTCTAATAAGGGATGGAATCGTGGAAGAGGAGCCACAAAAGAGGAACTGAAGTCACAGAGTACAGCATAGGCTACAGCCATGATGAAGCAGTCGGATGTGGGGCAACAATACCCTGACTTCTCTTTCCTCCCACCATTTTACTTACTGCTTGTGGATCCCTTTCACCAAATCCAGCTGGAAGCAGAAGACTGATGAGTGATGCATTCCATAGAATTCAGTGTCACAAGCCAGATTTCCCATTATCCAGTGCTGCGACAGATTTTGGGTGCAAAATCTTTATTAGGAATCAACACCTGTGAAGAGAAGGGGGAAGAAGCAGGATCGGACAGAGAAAGATGTTGAACGTGTACTTATGCAGACAATGAACTAGAAAACCTTAGCCAGTCCACTGGGGAGCTCTGACCTAAGAATTACCTATAAAAATCTTCCACAGAGGGCCAAAATGCTCAGCCATCTGCCCATCATGACAGCCCTGAAAAAGGCTGATAGCCAAAGATATTTGTTGTCAATTGGATGAGTCACTTTGTATACTTGTTTGTTTAGTTCTTCTGTGGTGAATGGTCTCTGGTGGGCATTAACATGTGACATATACATACACACAAACTATATTTCCTCTTTTTACCTATGGAGAAAACATCATTTTAAGCAGCCATAACAAATATTTAAATGTAATATTTTGTCCACAAAATAAACCTCAATAAATTCCTATATTAGAAATAGTATATAATGAACTGTCTGACAATGATGCTTTAAAGTTAGGAATACAAAACAAATGTATAAAGAAACAATACAACAGCTGTTGCAAATTTTTTAATTTACTGGAACAACTCTTAGCCAAAAAGTAAATCTAAATGAAAATTGTTAGAAAAATAACAATCTACAAATTAATTGCCAAACCTATGACACACAACCAGAGCTGTACTCAGGCCCCTAAAATTGTTTTAGTGTGAAACAGTACAAAAATTAATAAAGCATTTACTCAAGAGTTTATTAAAAAACATTAACAGCAAAGAAATCAGAAGAAAGTCATTAATGATCACAGCGGAAATAAATGAATTTTTTAAAGAAAAGTGGTAGAACTCATAAATTCAAGAATTGCTTCTTCTAAAAAAAAAACTAGGTAAAATACTAGCTAGTTTAAATTTTAAAAAGAAAATTAAAGGATAAGCACCAATACAAAAAATACATAAATTAGAAAGCAGCAATGGCCATAGATCACCACAGAGAAATGTGGTTGAAAGAGAAGTAAAAATTATCAAAATAGACACCAGATTGTATTGAAAGCCTTAATCAACCAATACCTATGGGAGAAAAACTGAAAACAAAGAAGTCTTCAAAGGGGAATTTTTAAACCTTCAAATAATTGATAATTGACACGTATTTAACAAGGCTAGAGAAAGTAGAAAAGCTGCTCACATTTTTTATAAATGAAAAATAATGATTCAAATCCTGTCAAAAGTACTCTAAAAGGGCAAATTACAAACAATTCACTTCTGAATATTGGTATAAATGACCTAATTAAAATGTTGGCAAGTAGAATTCGGCAACACTTTAAAAGAATAACACATCATGATCAAGTGGAGTTATTGCAGGACGGCAAGGATGGCTCATTGACATAAGTCACCACTTGGTGGACAAGAAGAAAAAACTGCTATAATTTTGATATCTTCTTGATAAACACTAAAAAACACTTGATACAATTTAATATTCTCACACATTACTGATAGGGGCTTTTACTAAAATACAAATATAAGGATATTTAATATTTTTATAGTATACAGTCCCCAAATCAAAAGTGAAAATATAAAATACTAGAAGCATTCCCATTAAAAATGATGCTAAGACAAAGTCCTACACTATTTAACATTTACATGACTGGCTTTTACTAGTCAATGTAATAAGAGATGGAAATA